CATGCAGTGCCCTTCACCAGATTGTGTTGTTCCAGGCGATGCTCGTAGTAAGTAGTATGGTATGGTATGCAGCATCACAGAGGCGTTTGAAACTGTTGCCGACATGTTCCGCCCGGAGCGTGAATAGCGAGATGCTCCTCAGCCCTTGTGGTTGTTTTCTTTTTTGAGACGCCTGAAATGGAGAAGGGGAGTTGCGGGAGAGCGACGGATTGTTGTCTTCCTCGACAAGCTACGGTCAGACTGCACTACTTTCCTTCGTCCTCAGAGCGTGTACAGTGTACAGACTTGGGATGTTATGAGTATGCGAGCCTTCGAAAGTGGCAAAAGTAGGAGCGTGTTGAAGACACCTTAAGACAACAAGGTGACCTCCAGGGTTGGCTGGCCATGGGTGTGACAAGCTGCTTCGGCTTCATAAGAAAGCATGTTCATGCAGACACAACTACAACATCGTCTGCATGCCTACGTAGCTCGTACGTTTAATGGCGCATCTAAACTAAATATCAAGAGACACACTTGGTAAATCATCGTCATTTATCCAGCCATGTTTCAGCTTCGTGGGCATGAACTTCAGCAAAGGACTGCGCAGCCTGTGCATTCATTACGTTTATTACGTTCACTTTGCAACTAATTCATTTCTCTCTTCACGTTATTATAATAGGCCACGTACGAACACATCCTATTCACTGGCCACACGGTGACACAATCATATGACTGGCGTGCTCTTGACCTTGGATTTACTAATTAGGCGTGTTGGTTGCATGGGCGAATGTGGAGTTCTTTCACGTCGTCCATCTTGAGCTCCAGATAATAATAAAAGAGCAATTAAGGCCAATTAAGGGGGCAATGACGCACAAATAGAAGGCACCCTTATTTACTTCTTCTTTAGGAAACTTTGATATTGGATTTCTAGATTTCCAAAGATTATTCACTCTGTAATAATAAGATAACGTAAAGAGAACTCAACCTTATTAATTCACTAAGTTATCATCTTTGCCTGTTGACGCACGACCTGGCCCGAGTTTAGCCTTCAGCATGCTGCGAAGGTACGCAGCCCATCATTGTTCTTGGTTTTCGATCAGCAAGCAGCAGCAATCAGGCTCAAGCACTTGTTGAGTTGAGAAGCTGCGACTTGCAAAGAAACACGGCTTGCAGATTCACCCGTTGCTATCAGTATGATTCCAGCACATGTCCAGCGTGCTTCTCTCTCTCTCCCTCTTTCGCTCTTTCGCTCTTTCGCTCTTTCGCTCTTTCGCTCTTTCGCTCTTTCGCTCTTTCGCTCTTTCGCTCTTTCGCTCTTTCGCTCTTTCGCTCTTTCGCTCTTTCGCTCTTTCGCTCTTTCGCTCTTTCGCTCTTTCGCTCTTTCGCTCTTTCGCTCGCTCACTCTCTCTCTCTCTCTGTTTCTCTCTGCCTCCGTCCATACCCCTCTGTCTATACTTATCCGTACTGCTATCCGCAATCCGTATCTCTAAGTATTTGACTATTGAAACATCTGACTGCCTGACTAGCTGGGCCTGAGGACAGGTCGACAACTGGAAATTCAGCGCTAGGCGACTGACCCGGGACGTTAGTGGTGGAGAAGCTGATTGGCTGGAAAATGCCTGAGGCGCTGGCTTAAACAAACTCGGCTAGTTTAGTTTCTCCTTCAGTTTCTCCTTCGGCTTGTTGATGCCTTATGATACTGTGTTGGAGTTCTTTGATTTTGCTTCACTTTGGGAACGATTGTGCCTCTGTGTGTATTGTGGTGCCGGACATGGTGAGTCAGCTGCTGAGTATCACCAGCAGAGTTGACGATGCCATCAGCCCCAGGTACTGAATAGGTAGCGAAGCCGATGTGGCACATGTGGCCATAGGTTGTGTTGGGAGGGATGTGATGCCACCCGGCTCTTTCACGCGGCTCTCGCCATGATGTTGCTTGTGTGTCTACGTGTCGTTACAACTTTCTCTGTCCAATTTACGCTCACCAACTGTGACCATCATTTCTCATGCCAAACAAGTTTCGGTTACTTGTTTATGGCAGTCAGGTTGCATGCAAGCAGGGGCAAGTTTCGCTTGCCGCCAACCTTGTGAGGACATCATCACCACGCGAAAAATGCGTCAAAAATCACAGCTTAGCGGCGCATAAATATAAGCCTTTCAGAAGACCTCTGAAGCTGCCTGGTGCGAATCCGGCCGTCAAGCAATCCCTTCCAGACATCATGGCATGAGAATGCATGAGATCTTAGACCTGTTGATACTTGTTGTAAGCTAGAGCGGCCCGGTCGATGAGACGTACCATCATGGTGCATGGAGAGTAAGCCCTCAAAACGCAGTCCGATACTCCTTCCCAGCTTGCCGGCCATGCCTGGCGAAGGGCCGGGGCTGGTGACAGCGTCTGACAGGATACCCTGGGAAGCTCTTGTTGATCCTTGAACCATTTTCAAACGCCTTAAAAACCACACTGAAGAAGGTCAGGGCATTGAATGTTTGGACATGTTGACAACGCTGTCAGCGATTCTGTGAAAGTTGCGCAGGATTACGAACTTGCTGACGGTGGTGGATGATGGACTTAGGGCTGCCATCCAACCGCAGGTGGCCAAGTCAGAGTGTGGGCAGTGCTTCGTGTGACTCAGTATGACTGCTTAGTGTCAGTAGCCAGCTAGCATTCCTTGTCAGCGAGTAGGACCCAATACCTCTACACACATACGGTACATGCAGCTCGTGTGACCCGTGATGCTAGCAGGCGGCACAGCTAGAGTGTAGTGATGCTGCTTCGAGACATAACCAGTCCTCTTGCCAGACTGGAAACACTGCGACGAATCCTCTGGGTGCTGTAGCAGCTCCGGCGGCTGTATTGGTGTCGGTGATGGCTGGGACAGTGCTCGGCCTGCGCTAACTCGAGCTCTTGCCACTGTTACTGGTATCAATGTTGTCAATGCTGCTTGTGGTTCTGGAGCAGAGAAGGTATTGGGCGCGGTCTCATACCGCCGCACAGCCCGCCAGCTTTCTCGGGTTCTTCATGAGGTGCCTTGCCAAGCTTTCTTGAGCGCTAAGAAGTATCCTTGTGAGTGATGCCACCTCTGTATAATTGTTTGCGATCAGAGCTTGCTTTTTTCCAGCAGGTGCCGCCGGTGACCCCACCTTCACCTCCCACCTCGGGTGGCGTTGCGCCAATTGCGAGGGCGCCGCGAGCAATGGATTTCCTGACGAAGGGCGAGATCGTCTACCTGTTTGCTGTTCCAGGTGGGGAGTTCGAGGTTCTAGATTCAGACCGTACGAGCAACTCAGATTCGAAGCCTCAACAGAAATTCAATATTTAAGAATCCTTTTCTGCGAGTCAGATGAAGCCAGTGATTCAACTGCCTCACAAGCTCTTCCCCAAGGTGACAGCAAGCGTAAGAAGTTTGCTGCACCACAGGCTCAGGCTGTGCTTGCCTGCGCACGCTGTGAACCACAGCGGTTCGCGTTTTTGCCAGTCCGAGGCCTCTTCTCCCTGACCCTGGCGGGACTGCTGGCGGCCCTGGGCCACTGGGCCCTGGGAGCACGCAGCGCTGAAGAGGCCGTGCGCCGGCTGTCCGCTGCCCAGCGCCGTGCAGAATTCTACCTGAGTCAGGCCTTACTATTACTACTACTATTACTTTATTCCTACTATTGCTAGTGTTACTATTGTTACTATTATTACTATTCTTACTATTGTTCAAATTACTACGTAGTGCATTGCGGGGGTGGGAGGCTTCGTCTCAACGAAGCTCCGGATTGAGCAAAGAGTAGTTCTCCATCCACCCTCTGCCTCGCCCTTTATGCATTTTATGCGCTGTTCCAAGAGCATTCGATGCCTTCAGCAGCGCTTCGGTAGCAGAATTCTCGCGGCACGGCTCTGAACTGCACTTTCTGGAAGCTCCTTATGTTTTCAACAATAGGAATAATAGTAATTATAGTAGTCATAACAGTAATATGAATAATAAAAATCATAATAATAATAATAGTAGCTTTTGCTCCCCCCAAGGAAGTGGCTCCTCGGCAGCGGCTCCCGGCCTGCCACCTTGGAGCCCCCGGACGCGAGCGAGAGCGAGTGACAAAAAGCAAAAGGAGCCCCGAGAGGGGACGGGGGGCGGGGCGGCTGCCATCCTTCCAATTTCTGTGCAAACGTGTTTTCTACTGGCCACTATGTGCTTATTGTGGAAATCTCTCTTTTCGTGTGATCCCTTTTTCTGCAACGTCTGTGTGTGTGCGCGCCGTGTGCACTGCAGTTTGTCGATTCCTGGCAAGACCTTGCTAATCGCCCATCTTCGTGCCAGAAGAAGATGTTCATGCGACGCGTTGAAGTAATTCGCTGTGCTGTGGCTTGCAAATCCGCTACGGATCGCTGCGGCAATTCAGCTTCAAAGGAAGGATGATTGCGAGCAGGTTGGGATGTCGCCCTTAGATACCTTTTGTTCTCCAAGACTCTCCGGCCTGGACCTCAAGACTCAAGATTTGGCAAAAGTTCAGACTTGGGCGTCCCAGAAATTGTTGAAAGATGTGGAATGCTTGCCGGCCGTACTTCCGCGTGTAAGCATCTCGACCTTCTGCTAGGCTGGCCGGCTGGTCAGTGAAAGATGCCAGGCGTTCGAGTGCTTCTTGGCTGCTGTAATGAGCGAGGCGGACATTTTGGAAGCTGTCGGTTGATTCTCGTATATTCTCGTCGTTGCAAAGCAATCCATTCGCCTGAGGCTTGCACTTCTCCTGGCATCGCTTGCATTTTCGCCCTTCCCTTGGTGTCATGGAAGTAGGGTGGCATGCGGGACAGAGTCGGTTGTGCTGCTTTTTGGGACTGTTTTGGGGGCTCAGCGAAAAAGTTTGGGGTCAGTTGGGGTAAATTGAGCCTCACTTGGGGTGTATGCCGGGGCGCTTTGACTGACTCTTGGTTGAGTATGCCCTTCAGTTGCAATCTTCTTCTTGCAATGCGGAGCTGAACTTGACCCTGGAAGGTTCAAACCAGGGATCACAGCTGACCAGTGTTCCCAGCACTCAATCTCTGAGCTATGGCTATGGAATGTTTTCCGTGGGCGCCGGCGCAGTCTCAGTGTGGCAAGCCCTTGTGCATGGGCAGCCACAGAATCAAGGCATCCGGGGCAGTTTCTGAGTGCGATCTTGGATACATTGCAAGCGGCAGTTACCCAAGCCTGAAGTTCTTTTATGTCGGCGACAGCACTTGCTCTGCACGAACCAGAGGGTGTGATCAGCTCCGGTCCCAAGGGTTCCAACCTGCTGACACAGGCTGAGCGACCCTCGGTGCCCACACAGGCGCCCAAGCAAGACCGACGAGGAATCTGGCGAGATTACCAGCCAGACAGCCGCGTGGCAATTCGGGCTGTGTGTTGGTGGGTGATGGGTGTTGATGTGTTTTTGAGTTGTGTTTCTCGTGCTTCTGCCTGCTGTCAGACCCATGAGCCGGAACAAAGAAATCACATCTCAGGTGACGACTACGACCCGCGCAGCGCTCCGTTGTTGCCACCCCCCGAGGACGAGCACAAAGATATTCGACGACAGGCGGTTTGTGCACCTAAAAAGCAGAGGTTAATCTAAGAGCGGTACAGTGCCATGATAACAAATTCTTTAGAGCATCAGTTTCGGTGTGAGAAGCATGCGTGGTGGTTGGCAAGTTGAGCAAATGATGTTTGCGCTGGGGCTTGCAAACTCCGATAGATTTTCATCTCTACAAGATGACGTTGACAACGCTTCTTTTTTCACATTTAGACGGTCCAATGCCCATGATTACCCGTCTCGTCTCAAGAGTAGGTACGGGATTGAGCATCAGCCCTTCGAAGCAGACATAACGACGTGGCTGTGGGCTTGTGGGGATCTGAAACCGTGGTTCTCATTTAGCATCTACAGTGTCCTGACCACGTAGCTCCCCATTGCCGTGCAGGCCGCAGCCCTCCGTGGTCGCATCAAGAGGGGTGGACCTGAGAAAGTTCTTACACATTACAAGATGGTCCTGCAGGAGCAGTTTTGATTCTGGTGAACAATCCCTGCTCAGCTGGAAGTCGAAAAACAGCTTGATGTAGGTTGCAAGCTGTGCCCAGCGAGGCCGACGGGCCTAGAAGCACAAGCCAAAGTCACAAGCTTGTCCCGTATTGTTCCATAGCTGCTGCATATGACTCATATCATGTCTTGACTCTCTCAACGAGCCCTTCTATACTGCAAACTCTAGCCAGCAAAGCTCCTTTCGGAAAGGCACGCAAGGGCATGCAGCAGCTGCTGTGGTCGAAACATGCAAAAGCATCTTCGACCGTGCAGGACTTAGAGAGCTCTATGGCGCCCGCTTGGCCTCGCAAGGTGGGCGACAAACAGTGACATGTCACAGTAAAGGGCTGTGAGCTCACTAAAAGACTACCCTATCGCAGCATTATGGAGGGATGTGCCAAGTAATGCAAGGACCTCCAATTAATGGGCAGATACCTCCCTAAACCCCCTGAACCCTGAACCCTGAACCCTGAACCCTGAGCCCTGAACCCTGAACCCTGAACCCTCAACCCTAAATCCTCCCCCGTGATGGTCAATTGATTGTATCGCCCAAGCCCCTCCTCATTCCTTAGGCATCCTCCGGCCTCGGACATCCTCCTGGCCTGATAGCCCTTCCAGCCTGAACGTTGCAGCATAATAGTAGTAAAAGTCATTGTACTAATCATAGCAATAATAGTCATAGTCAGACTAACAATAATAATAAGAAGAATCATAATGAAAATAGTCATAGTAATAATAATAGTAATCGTTAGTTAGAATAGAAATAACAATAATCCGGGAAATAAGAATAATGGTAATACTAATAATACTACTAATAATAGGAATAATCGTAATAGTCATATTCGTAAGAACAGTAAGAACAGTAATAATAGTAGTAATAATAGTAATGATAGTAAAAATAGGAATCATGGTAATAATAGTAATATATTAGTAATAATAGTTATAATAACAATAATAGTAAGAATAGTAAGAGTAGTAATGATAGTAATAATAGTAATAATCGTAATAATAGTAATAATAGTAAGAATAGTAAGAATAGTAATAATAGTAATAATAGTAATAATAGTAATAATAGTAATAATAGTAATAATAGTAATAATAGTAATAGTAGTAATAATAGTAATAACAGTAAGAAATCGTAATAATGGTAAGAATAGTAAGAATAGTAAGAATAGTAAGAATAGTAAGAATAGTAAGAATAGTAAGAATAGTAAGAATAGTAAGAAAAGTAAGAATAGTAAGAATAGTAAGAATAGTAAGAATAGTAAGAATAGTAAGAATAGTAAGAATAGTAAGAATAGTAAGAATAGTAGTAATAGTAATAATAGGTAATCATAGTAATTATAGTAAAAGTAGTTAGAAAAAATCTCTGCCACATCTGCTTCCAGGCTTTGGCGAGCCACAAGCGTACACCATCTTCTCAGTCGGCGTTGACGGAGCCCATTGCTCTGAAGTTGTGGACCGGGTTTAGTAGGCATCCCATCACCACGCTGAAGCCATCGACTTCCCATTACTTGCATAGTACCACTTGTACTATGTAAAGTTTGTAGTTATGTAAAGTTTGTAGTTTCTTCATGGCCGAAGCCTTCTTTGTAGGTGGCGCCGAACAAACGTAATCCGCTTACACATAGCTCGGGATTGTGCAATTTCACAAAGTGCGGTGATTTATTTCAGGCTTCTTCATCGTGTTTGTGAGTCACAGGTAGCGTAACAGCTCATGTACCCGACATGCATAGCACACTGGTGCATGAATGTGGCATTTATCTGCAGGGCCTCTCATTGTCGGACCAAGAATGGCTTTAAGCTTGCAAACAGAGCATGCAAATCTGCACGTGAAACTGGGCATGTGAACATATTAACTGAAGTGGTACGTAACACATGTCCTGGCTGCCGAGACTGAAGACTGTACCCTGTAAACATGGTGCATCTTGTGCGCACATGTCGAGGGGCCAGGTGTTCCTTTCCCAGCTACTGTCAGTTCTGGTCGGCTAGGCCGGTCTTTCATGATCGCCCGAGCCAAGGTCAACCCAGTTTCCAGGCGAGGAGATGGACGAGGCCAAGTCTGCCGGCTCTAATGAGGCTCTTACGTCCTCAGGCGTTCTTCCTTGAGAAACTCTTTTCAAAGCAACTTGTCACTCGGTCATACTTGGTCAGCAGTCAGCAGGGGACCAAATTCGAGCTGTCTGTGTGCCTAGCCTGACCCTGTATCAAGTGCTGCTCTCTGCCTGCTGTGTGCAGGTGGACGATCTGCTCGATGACACTGAGGACGAGATGGAGCCCCTTGGCACAGCCGAAAGGCGCATTCCATCAGGTGTACTTAAGACAAGAAGTGCGAAGCGAAAGTCGCCAGAAGCCGTCGGCCCCAACCGCCCAGACAGCATGCCTGTGATTGCAGGCACCTCTTCCCCAAATCTTTCAACCTCTTCGTTCTAAGCACCTCCTTACCCGAGGATTCCGGAGGAAGCTCTCGAGGTCGCAGTTGCCCGGAGCTTTGCCAAAAAGGCCCTGCCCAGTGTCTTGGGCTGTATATGGGTTTGCCGTTTCCGGGTTCCTGCGTGTTGGAGAGGGTTTGGGAGATTGGGATCTTAACGCATTTTGGTCCCAGGACATTTTGAAGAGTTTTCCCAGTTCGAGCCGTCTTTCGGCGGCTTTTGAATCTGTGCACTCAGGTTCTCTTCCTCTTAGCATGCGTAAGTTCTTCCAATGCCTGCTGCGACTTATGTGAACGACGCGCCGCCTGTAGATTCAACTGCTGCAAGCTTTGCAACTAGGACCACTGACCATGAAGTCCATGACTGCCCCACAGGGCTTGAACTGAGGTGAGACGCACCGCAGGCCCAGCTTTCTGGGATATGGAGAGAGCCGTAGCTCAGAGTGCTCACAGCAGACATGTGTTGCAAGCACAGTATGCTCCCTTGACGTGTCAGAAGTAGTATTTTAGTACGTAACCTTCGACCTGCGCCTAGTCCACACTTGATCAGGGACGAGCCGTGACCCGAGCCTGGCGATGACAGTCCATAAACGTCTGTTGTAAGCTTACTGCCTTCATGCCTGAATGCTTTTGCACAGCTTTAATACTAGTTGGGCGGCCCTAGGGCCTTCGATGTTGTTGCTGCAGGCGGCCGATCCCCGTGTACCAAGTCTACCAAGCTCAGACGATGACAGCTTCCTCGAAGGAAGCCAAGCCTTTGATCTTCCAGCCTTTGTAGAGGGTGGGCTGTTTTTGCACTCCTTCTGTTGCCTGAAATCGCCTATGTAACTGAGAGCAGTCAGTGCACTGCCTGCAGAATCTATAGGACCAGGACCATAGTCTTTTTTTGCTGGTGCTTGTGTTGCTGTGAGCTGTAGCACCTGCACAACGGAATCATATCGAGTCTTTCGAGGGCCCTCAAAGGGCCTTGTTTCCATGTGTCCAAGGGTTATACACTTTGCAGCCACTTCGTGGCTTAGTTACCTTGTGGCTGCAAGGGATTTTGCTTCGAAGCAGAGCTGAGCTCTTCGGCTTCAGCTTTTTGCTCTGATTCGAAATTTAGCAGTCCAAGGCGCTCTGGGGGCGTTGATTGAGACTTGACACTTCGCACGCCATATATACAGCTACCGCCCGGCGCCTTGTGTTGGGGGGAATATCGAGTGGGCCGAGTGAACCTCGAAGTCGGTAGCTTTAGGGCTGCGCTTCGGGTCTCATCCCCGAGCCACGGTCTCTTGAAGCTCCTAACATTCAGCATCTTTTCATCCTTCGCCATCGCGCGTTGTCGTGGCGCAGCTGCGTGCCAGTGTTGATCGGGGGTGGCGCTCGAGTGAATGCATGCAAGAATACTCCACCTGGGACTGTGGCCGAAACTGCAATAGGGGGCTACTCTAAGCCCTAGAAAGGATTGATAGTATGAGGGGGAAGGGGGAACGTCAACCCTAAACCCAAAGGCCTAAACCCCTTGTCATCGAACTGTAATGTCGAATCTCCAGTTTCAGCTGCAGTGCTCACTTCTGTTGCTGAGGCTGTGAGGGTCCACCTTCGCACCTCATGCCGCAGAGACTCAAAAGCTGACACCCGGACACTGGCAGAAGTAGCCCAAAGACACCAAGAGATGTCAGCTTTTGTCTCGGCCTTCCTACTTTTGATATGGATGAGATGACAAAGCTCCTGCGACCAGTGATCAGAGAGCAGGAATCATGATTTATGTTGACGCTTCTTGGCAGTGAGCTTTTGTAGTGTGTGTGTGGTATGCCTGAAGGCAGGGCACTGCATCAAACTGACATTTGTTCAGCGTCGTTCATGCTTCACGATACGAAGCCTTCATGTTGAGTTGAAGGTGCCCTGGCTCGTATTTGCATTCGATTTTCCTTATTGCTTCGCAGACTCGTAGACCGTCCCAGTATGCAGACCTGTGTCGGAAAGGAGGCGATGCCAGGCAATGAGATAAGTGCCCCAGCAGGATGGAGGATGTCAGTGACCGATAGCATCACAAGCCACAACTCGACAGATTCTATATGCTGCACAGCTTCGGGCAGCAGCAAGGCCTCCAGAATCTCCAATTTCTTTGACCCCCACTTCTGCACCTAAACCCTAAACCCTTAACCCTAAGCCCTCAGCCCTAAGCCCTAAGCCCTAAACCCAAAACCCTACACCCTAAACCCTCCAAGCGCTCCTTCGCCATCCCTTTCGCCCGTCAGCCCAGGGCTGACTCAACCCTAAACCTTAAACCCTAAACAACCCCAAAATAGGGGAACCTAAGCCCTAAAATAAGGGGAATCAGGGCCTGCCCTGGGTCCTAGGCTTCTCCGGCCCGACATCAGTCAAGGCTTGCAGGCCGGGCATGATGTTGAGGCATGGGGGGTTTCCGAAGTTAGCGGTACCGTTATTGGGGGTCCTTGAAAAAGAAGGGGGATCCTGCCATGCTTGTTCAAGACACTGTTGGGTATACAGTGCACCTCGGAAGTTGAGCTTGTAGATTCAGGATATTCAGGCCTTGTTTTCGCTGTTTTTTTTTTTTTGGGGGGGGGGGGGGGTTCGTGTATCCCAACACCCCCTGAAGCCAGCTCGCTCTTGGCTCCTCTGGTAGGAGCCTCAAAGACAAATCCCAGCACGAGAGCAGCGGTGGCTGCAGTGGCCGCTGCCAAAGGATCCGGAAGCCTTGATTGAGGGTTTAGGGTTCAGGGTTTAGGGTTTAGGGTTTAGGGTTTAGGGTTGAGGGCCGGCTGGTTGTTCTTCTGAAGAAGTAACCATTCAGAGCGCCCTCTGCATTGCCAACGGTCGTTCCCGGACTGTTCTGCATGCTGACCGGAGACTGGCTTTTCCAGGGAACTGCCAGTACCAGGGTTACTAGAGGTCGTAGCAGATAAGTGGGGTTACTGAGTTACAGTGCCGTTGCAAGCGCTCTACTATTTGAGTTGCTGCAGGAAGAGCAGCCGCCACAAGTGCGCCGCTTGCTGGAGAACGCCTCAAGCACCTGCCGCGCGCAGCACAAGGCTTCAAGAATTGGTCTAAAGGAATGCTTCGGTTGCAAAGGATCTCCGTGCCGGACAGGGAGTTTATCTGAAGTATTGCTTCTGCTGCTACGAATATTACGGCAGCTGCTATGCTGCTTCAATGGCTGCTGCTGCTGCTGCTGCTGCTGCTGCTGCTGCTGCTGCTGCCGCCGCTGCCGCTGCCTGCTGCTACTGATGTCTCCCGAACCACGACAACGACATCGGTTCCTGCTGTTGCTGCGATGTCTATGCTTTTCCGGCTGCCCCTGCTACGAGATTGCAGCACATCTTTGCGATTTACGACTACTGCTCCTACACCGGCTGAGGGTGTGCCCTCAGTCGTGACCGATGCATTTCGCAGAGCAGAATGTTATGCTGGATCAAGCCTTGCAAAAACATGGGCACCAGCTCGTTAAAGCTCACGACAGCAGGAGACGAGCTGAGCTGAAATCCCATCGCACAAGTTGGGATTCAGTGTGCACTGACGCAGCACATGTCCGAATCATGGATGTAGATGCCAGCCCTCTTTGCAGGAGTTTAGAATCGTGAGGATCAGTGGAAGTCCCGTTTGCTGTAGCCCCCCAAGCCATTTTCAAAGCCTATTCACCCAGCCTGCAGGGCCTGCCGATCCGAGCAGTCCAGTATGTGCCGCATCTCGTAGGCCTGGTGACCGGTGGAGTTCAGAGTTTGGGTGCGGGGGAGGAACAGCGGTAGAGCAGCATAAGGCATATGATGCATCAAAAGAGGACTTGCGTCATAGACGGCAGCTTCTTCACTCAATCGTTCAGAGCGTTTCAATTTCGGATCTGCACGTGCTATGGCCCGATTGGAGCGAGTGGGGCGCCAGGTTCAAGGTGCATGCGGCGTTTGTGTCGAAGGTGCACGCGGGGTGCCGGAAACCTGCGCCTGTGTGTGTTTTCGGGCTGGGAGGTTTTGGTGGGGGAAACTCTAAACGGCGCACGTGGTTCACATGAACCCTCGACGTTAAAAGGGGTGCTGGGTGGGAAGCCTTACACCCTGAAAGCAGATGGCAAACCCTAAGGGAGACTTTGCAGGCAAGCAAGCCTGAAAGGGAGATTGGGCATAAAAGCCATAAAAGCAGATGGCAAACTGCAGACCCAAAAAGGAGATGTGCGGTGGGAAGCCAGAAGGGGCTCCCAAGACCCTCCGGCGAGTCTTCCTGAGTCCACCTTGGACTCGCGGGCGCGTGCACCTTCAACGGCCCTACTGGGCCAGTGCATGTAGGGAAGAAGGGAATGGTCTCTTAACAATCTGGACTTTGAAGAAGCTCCCAGCTCTCACCTCTGCCCAGCCCCAAGACGATAGCCATGTGTCCAAGCAGCCATGCGCTTGGCAGCGGCCTCAACAAGCCACGCAGGCGAGCCTTTCCCGTTCCCGGAGTCCGATCCGCAGGGCTCCCAGTTCTTCTTGTTAGTAAATCAAGCCGTTCCTGGAGTCAGGTAAGCACAACTTGACGGTTCCTGTATCCTGCATCGGGAGAGCGAAATTGGCTGCCATGCGCTGTCACAGCGGTGATGTCAGTTGGCCGCCCTGGCCTTGATCGGGGTATATCGGGGTCAGTTTACGAGGCCAAGACAAACATCAGCTGTCGGGCACAAGGGATGATGCTGCGAGACGGTCATGTCTGCTTCTGTTCGCAGTGTCTCCACCCAAGGCAGGGTTACTACCAATCCGTCTTCCAGAAGCTGCACCAGCTGGATCCACAGTTTCGCTGCATGTGGTCGCGTGGGAGCAGCTCAAGCGAAGCTCATGTGTTTGCGCCGTTCTTGTGCCAATGCATGATGTATGAAGCTGCTAAATGCAACAGAGGTTGTTGTCACGGCTCACAACGCCCAATGAAGCAGCTGAAGCGGCTAGCAGTTTCCTGGTCGAACCTGAGGCGAGATCTGCCTTTGATTGGCAAGGCCATGCAGGCGCATTGCTTGAGTCGTATTGCAGAGTTCACCGGCATGAAGATAAATGAAGAGACTGTAATGCACAGAAACAGTTGCGACTGCAAAGCCGGCCAAAGTGCACTGTAGCTATATTTGCAAGTGGACGAAGAGCATGTGCAGTGTTCTTCCCTTGTGAGGCAGACACGCTACGAATTCGGCCTTGGCTGGAAACCGAGATGGGCTAAAGTGAGATCGGCGTGTCATGGTGTTGCCCAAGTAGGATGTCGAAAGACGCCCTTTCTGTCATACCCTGTCCGCGGAGAGTTCTGGTTCTACTTCGAATTCCACGACGCGCAGGCCGCTTGCCCGGAGGAACCGGAACGAGGCGCATGCGCCGTTCCTGGAGCTCATGAGACAGCAAGGCACTTGGGGATGGAGGGGGGGGGGGGGGGGGGGGGGGGGGGGCGGTTCTCAAAGAACCACGGGGAAGCGAAGCGGTCGAGCACTCAACAGAAGCACCTTGGAAGCCAGGCATCTGCAAATTGGTGCCGACATTCAATCTGGCAAAGCATTATGCGGAGATGCTGAAGCAAGGCCCGGCTAAGGCCCTGCTTTTGTGCTTGCGAACATGCAGGTTGAGAGCACTGCCAGGAAAGACGTCGCCGGAGACAAACTCGGACTCCCACCTTGCGACAGACTTTGTTCGTTTCGGAGGTGTCGCGCAGATTACGGCAGAGCCATGCAAAGCTTCGTAGATACAGACTGAGCACAGCCCAACAGCCCTTTTTCAGTCCAGCTCATTCCAAAGCATTCCAAAGCTCTCCTGGGAGTTCGTTTGACTCCTCATT